GAAAGTGGCGCCCGAATTGCAGCATGGCGCCAGTTGTCCAAAATCCTACGGTACCAAAGGAGGGGTTTGGAAAAAGGGTGCCAGGCCGAAAACGGGATGCAGCCGAAACAGCAAAAGATAGACCAGGGATCGAGCCCTGGCGAAGTCCGTAACACCAATAAAGGAAAAAAGAAAAAAAAAAGATGTCGCAATGAGAACGAATCTTCTGCTAGAGCAGGAAAAGATACACCACCATGAGAAGGCTCGGACGTTGAGAGGGGGCGTCACTCCACTACTCGGCAAAAGCTGCAAAATGAGAATGCATCTTCCCCTAGAGCACGGGGAGATACACCGGAACATTTTTTGCATTCTGTTTGCATTCTGTGCATGTGGTGAGTAGCCGAGCAAGGTCTGGAGTCCCAAGGGAAGGAACGTGGAGATACACCAGCATATTTTTTGCCTTTTGCGCATGTGGTGAGGATTCGAGCTTGTTACCTGCCAAAGGTCACAGGTCATCTTTGAGCTCAATGTTGTGGATGTATCTGTCTGCGCTACAGCAGCAGATACATTCTCGTTTAGCACATTGGATTTGGTGGGGAGAAGCCAATGGTCTACCGAGCTTAGTGTTATGGATGTATTTTTCCACGATCCAGTAACAGATACATTCTCAAGAAGCCCATGGTCTCCTGCCTGGAAAGATACGCGGCCACCTGGGTGGAGCCCGAAAACGACAAAATTCAAGATTCTGGATGGACCACGTTCCAAGTCACAGGTCCACTGTGTACTTGTATTCAAACAGGCGCCTATTCATGTTGAAACGAACTTCTGGATTCGAGCGCGCAGCCGAAAAATAAAAACGCAGACTCCTCCCCAATTGCGTTCACACCCGCCCGTGGGAGAAAACAAAAAGGCAAACGTGTCCAAACACAAAAAGCTCTGGGCCCAGCCGGGGAAAGGGTCTCATGTGAGAAGCGTTACGCAAGACTCGCTATTTGCTTTAAGAGTATATATATATAGGGATAACGAGGAGAAGGACCTCCCATTCCTGGCACAGTAAAAGTTATGTATTTGAAAAACAAGGCTGATCTTTGAGGCAACTGTACTTGAATCACATCCAATAACAGTGATTGCTTTTACAATTCTCCGCAGGGCTCGATCCCTGCACCTCATGCTGGGTACCAGAATTCATTTTTTAGCATGTCCTCGGTAGCAGCACATTTTACATTTTTGTCCCATGGACATTTTACAGTATCACCCATCTGATAACGGCCTATTCCGAACATACATCTGAGACCAGGCTAGCCGTTTGTCTGCTTTGTGACACCTCGAGCTGTACTCTGGTTCAGATGTCTTTATGCATCTGTTCATCATCCCACTCAGCTGATGTGTCAAAGTCAGAGTTGCTCCCTCTCTCTCTCTCTCTCTCTCTCTCTCTCTCTCTCTCTCTCTCTCTCTCTCTCTCTCTCTCTCTCTCTCTCTCTCTCTCTCT